GCATCAATGATATGCATGTAATGAATGAGTGACAGCTGGTTGTAGCAAACACGTTCGAAGAGACCATCTACCCTCCGAGGTGGGTGGATATATCTGCATGTATGTCATGGGATTCATGAATGAAAACTTGTGTGTTCCCGGTGTGCATGTAGACTATACTTGCTCCTGGCGCGACACCCGTATACCAGGACCGGAAGGTTTCAACGATTTTCCACGAAATCACGTCCACGCGCCGTATTCGTCAGTCTCTGAAAGTGAATTATAATCCAGATAGACCAATAGGCTTTACTGGATAAAGCTTGATCGATCTAGAACACCGTAACAGACCGAATAAAATATTGTAAATATATGCCTCATGTGACAGAGCATTGTACAACATTGATAGTGATAAAAATCCAAAGGGATACAAGCAAATGATTATTTGTTTAGCGATGACTAAGAATTTTTAAATTTTAACATTATGTATATTTTCCAAAAAGCGACTGATGATCACATTGTTGGGAACACGTCTGCATCTTGATCACAACTTCTGTAGAACTACCTTAAAGATACGAACAACAAATCTCCTCCTTTTTGATTATGTATATGCTTTACCCTGTACGTATAGACAGGTAAGCACTACAGTATTTTTTGGTAGAGATTGGTTCCCTGAGCTGGATAGTGTAGATATGGAGCTTTCATTGTACTTTTGAAAAACGTTAATACGAGCCTCAGGTAGATGCTACGTATTCGAACTTCTCTACATATGACTAACACCTTGTCCTGTTGATCCTGATGTTGCTTGATTGTTGTTGAACTGTAGACAGTCATCGTTTGAATAACTATCCCGAGTGTATCTTCTTATGACCTGATTTATGATCCTATATTTGTCCATGATATTTCTGATTGGTTGGTAAATTGGATACATTTCAATATGTTTATTGATGACTGATTGCCAAGCTTCTTATTATTTTCTCTGTTCAGAATTTCAACATTGTTCCGATCTAACTTATGTTCAAAACTGCTTATGTCCACTGATATGTAAGTTTGTGTTGATGATATTTTCAGAAAAACAATAAAAAGCTCCACGATCAAGCCATAGAGCTCAAAGAACGAAACTCCACCAAAAGCATCCACCTAAGTCACAAATCTTTTCTACCATCTCAACAACTCCAGTGACATGAATTTGCAATTTGTTCAAAGACGTCTTTTTTAATGAGTGATGCCCTTGATACTATTTAGTTTAGAAAGTGGGTAATTAAAACTGAAATCAGTATTTGAAATGGATGTAAATTGATAAGAATCTAAACTACACTATTTTTTAAATCAAACGAACCATGTACTCGAACAGGTAATTAAATGTTTACCGTGTATTGTCTAGTAAATATACAAATAAAAAGTAATGACGTATTGCTTACATAGATGTACATGTTGACTGATTGTTACTTTAGCTCAATATCGTCATTATTGGATTTTAAGAATAATAAATTTTCAGCCAGAATTCTGAATGACGTTTAGAAAGGTCTTTGGATTTTTTTTAGAATGAAATCCATAATTAAAGCATATCTGTGAATTGAGATAGTTTAACATATATTCATCCTGAATTTTTTAAGAGTTAAAGGTTTCATTTAAAAATCTGACCTTTTTCCGTCCATACTTCTTTTAATTAATTTGATTCCACTCAAAAAATGGTATGATTTGACAAACCTACTTATTAAACTCAATATAATACATGTAAACATATCCATTTATTCAATAACATTTTACTTGCTTACCACGTAACCGAGTGCAAACAATTTGGTGATTGCATAATTAATAATGATAAATTAACTGATACTAATATCTGTTCACATTAGTTGAAATGGATATGAAAATCTAAAAACAGTATTTTCTGAAAAAAAAAAAATGATGAATTCGAAATGCTTTCGAATTAGAGCTTATAGCGATCTATTGAAACACTTTTGGAGTTAACATTCAAAATCTAAAACTATGCAGGATATTTTCATTATGAATAAATAATATATTGTCGAACTAATAATAATAATAATGCCGAACTGCTAAAATATGTTCATGTTGTGAATAAACAAGTTATTGGATGTAGACGAGAACACAAGTGGGGAAAATCGAATGTATTCGAATACAAAATTACAGAATATCTTAGTAAAATCTAGGAACCATACAGTTAATTGTTCATTTGTAAAATGTTAATCAATTGTTTCAGACTTGATTGTCCTTTTGTTTCCACACCAATCATTCTTTATTCTCGTTATCTTTTCTTTGGTCTTCTTAACCGTCTGCCTCTATACATTTCTTTCTCAACTAATGAATCATTAATTATATCTGTCGACATCAGTAGCACACACTATAATACAATATTGCAAAACTCAGAAATCGAGAATTCGTTAATTAATTTAAACAATTCATGTAGAGTTAAACGTTGACGCTTTACAAACGTTGAAGTTTCAAATGAAATTGTGATTTAATATAATGTCTGATGAGTTATATTTCAATTCATTGTTTAGTTGAGATACTTTGATTATGTGTTACGTGGACATGCTTAACCTTGATAGAATGTAAATGTATCAATTCTTTCTAAACAAAATGTCAGAATTTGAGGGTTTAATAACCATCAGGACTCAGTAGTTTAGTGGATAACGCGATGGCGTTTGAAGCGGACAGTACTGAGTTCGAGTCCCAGAGGGAACATCAACTCTGCGATGCAGGTATATCCAGCTGACGAGTCCCAAATAGAATGAAACGCGTGTCATGGATTCCACTGCTAGTCACTATCCCCTTTCACTTAAAAATATAAATCCATTATCTCAAACTTGACCGTTTCTTTGGCAAATATCTTTCCATCGTCTCAGATTTCCATGTTCGTGTATTTTCATACTGATTACTTACCGTTCCCGTTCTTTCCTTCTCGATCTTCTACTGAAATATATTCTATTCCTGACTATCGTTCTATACTACTTATGTGTATATAAGTAGCGCACAGCACACAACCACTGCTAGAGAAGTCCTACTCATTGCCTTCTGTTGACATCTGTAGCATACACCACAAACCTATTACACAACCATAAACAATAGAAAACACAATGTTTTGAACTTAATTCTTTAGTCCCTAAATGAATGTCATTATTTTGATGTTGTTTTCTCTTTCAAATGTTTATTTATAATTATTATTAGTTAAATAAAGAAGTGAATAAATATATTCTGATTGGTACAATAATTTGATAGTTAGTAAATAGAAAACCAAAAACAAAAAAGAAAAAGAATATTAATAATAAGAGTTTAAACACTGGTAAACTAGATATACATCAACAAACAAACAACTTGAAATAAATTATTATTCAATCATGACATTTTAATATTATTTGTTAAAACTTCAATTGCAAACTATTTTATAGAAATAAAAAGGACGAATGTATTTGTAAAATCTTAGCAAACGAATTCTGAAGTAAATCCAACGTTTCACCTGGTAATTTGGTTCAAGCTTTTTCAAGGAAAATAATAGAATATTTCAACTTCATTAAAATAGTTATTACATAATTCATATTGAGTTCAATAGAAACTAAAAGGATTTTGTTTTACCGTTGATGAGAATTAAAAGAGGAAAAAAAAATGTGTATTATGTAATGAATCAGTGAAACTATTTATTGATTAATATTCGAGGATACATTTTATGTTTGAAAAGAAACAAAAATACACAATTGTTTATATTCAAATAACATGAAAAAGGGAATTGATTTCATTCAATAAACATCAGTTTCACATATTTGAAGCAGAATAAATTAAGATAAATATCAAATTAATTTGATCATCTAATATAACTACTTAAATCTACTTATAAAATGGGTTTTTTTAAAAAAAAAAGAAAAAAAATTAAGATCCTTTTTTTTATTCACGAAATAGATTCCAGTTTTCATTTGTGGATAAGTAGTAAATTTCTATTAAAGTAAGTTTTCTTAATGTAAATATTATTGAAATATTATCTAGTGAATATTACTAGTTGACAGATTGATATAGATATAGAATTAAATACATCAACTTTTACAGACAATATCTTCATAATTGTTGACTCTGTTATAATCAATTATTTACATATACATAGTTCCCTTTATCATTTTGAAAAGAGCAAGAATAAAAATCCTAGCAGAATAGCATGAATTCATTTTTATTTCGTCATTCCTCGTCAGATACTTACAACCTGTGATATTTAAAATTATAATTACATAATGGGTTTAAATTACTTACATGAGAGGGTTTAGTTGGAAGTTATATTGAAGACATATTAGTATAGTATAGCAAGGGTGTAAATAAATTGAATAGACTGAATATTGTAAATATATATCTTATGTAAAAGAACATTGTGACAACAGTTCAAAGGGCTAGAAACAAGTAAACATTGATTAGAATAAAATGAGTAGAGTTCATTTGATAAAATAAGATTATTAATTTGGAAGATAGTTGGAATAAAACTCAATGATGTAACAAATGCAAGAAAGAGTTTAAAGAAAATGAACAAACAACATATTAAAATACAACGAAGAAATATTAGTCACCAAGGTAAGGAAAAATTAATAACCATCTTCTTTTGAACGCATAATTCAAGTTTTTGACGCCTGATAGCAACGGCTTCAGCAAACTTCAGAAGACTGGAGTTTAACTGCTTACTAATCACCCTGACTTTAAATAGAGGATTAGTTGGAATGAGTTCTTATATAGAATGTTGATTGATACATCCATTTTATAATACACTTAATGAGAATAATGTGAATGAAATTAAAAACTGAAAAAAATAGTCAAGATATGAGTTTGTTAATGAAAAAAAACTGATATATTACACTAAGACAAATTACTAGATTATGTTATTTTGAAACACCTAATAAAGCCTAATTTCTTAATTGTTTCAGATAAAGATTCAGTCCCATTGATATATAAACGTTTATCATTACAAACTATCAGTATGAATCAACTATGCCTTAAATAATAACAGATCATCCGAAAATAAATTCATAATGGAGACATTTCATAAAACTGCATTTTGTACGTTATGTAGCATAAATTCTGATTTCTTCAATAACAATAGTAATCTAATAAACATGAAAAATGAAATGCTTAGTGAAAAGAGAAACGTATTGGATACAATTGTTTTCTTCATTCAAATCATATCTGCAATTTTTATATTTTGTGGTAATCTTCTAGTCATTTTAGCTGTTGCTACAACTAAAATATTAAGACGTGTAACTGATCTATATATTGCGTCACTTGCTTTGGCTGATCTACTTGTCGCAACTCTATTAATACCATTATTTATCGTTCGACAAAACGCTGGCTATTGGCCCTATGAATCACACTATTTATGCATATACTGGCTCTCTTTCAACGTGTTCTTGTGTACCGCATCAATATTAAATATATGTTGTATATCTGTGGACCGATACAATTCCATTATTAATCCATTAAAATATGTCAAGAAACGAACTCATCGCACTGCGTTAATCGTGATTGGAGGTGTATGGATTTCGTCATTTCTGTTAACGTTACCACCGTTTTTCGGCACTCAGCACCATACGGGTGTAGGACGTTGTTACATAAGAAGCGATATAGTGTACAGATCTCTTATAGGAATCACAACATTTTTCATTCCATTTGTATTGGTCGGCTTTATTTATATACGTATATTTTACGTGATTCGACGTCGTTCAAATGAAATAAAAGCTGGAAAGATTTTATTAGACCTGAAAGAGCAAAGATATGGATCATTTAAATTGCTTTTCATTCCGAATAATATTTATAACCATAGTTTGGGACGTAAAATGAACTGTTTCAGTTCACGTAACTCTAATCAGCGTCAACTGTTTGTATCAAATTATACACAATCTAATTTATTTATTGCATTTACGCCCAGTAAGAGACGTAAAACTGCTAAAGAATATACTAAAAATCAATCTCACTGTCAAAGTTCGTCCACTTCATTCTCTAATAAGCGTTCCGAACAAATAGAGCGAGAGTGCTCAGAAACTTCTAGTAAATACACACAACATATTCACATGTCTCCAATATCAATGTTGCATACAACGACCAAATCTGATCCAGATGAGTCTTCTACACTTTCGATTCACAATAGCATTCAGAACACAGAAATCTATACTTTGCAAACTACAGATACCATCAATAAAACAGTCGACGCTTCTATGAACGATCGGCAGAACGATCAGCAACCTAAACACGAACACAGATTAAACAGTCAGAATGAACGAATTGTGAATTCCGAGCCGAAGTATTCTAACACACACAACAGTATAATTTACGAACGAAGTAAACGTCTTGTATACAAGAGTGAAAAGAAAACGGTGAAAACAGTAGCAATCGTAGTTTGTTGTTTCATTTTATGCTGGCTTCCATTTACCACTTTATTTTTAATGGAAGGAGCATGTGAATGTCTATTTTCTGAAGAAATTTTCATAGCTACCGGTTGGATAGCATACTTGAATAGTATGTGTAATCCAATTATATACGCATTTTGTAATAATAAATATGCTAAAGCATTTAAACATTTATTGCATATTCGAATAAATTCTTAAAAATTAAGAACTACAATTTTAATTGAGTTTAGAATGTCAATTGTAGTGTAAATTATGCTTCTAAAAATGTTTAGGTTTTTCCCATAGAGGATGACTGATTACAATTTTGTTTATCAATCAAAATCATATAAAAGCAGTTGTAATTTCTAATTCATGAATGAAATGGAATGTATTATCGTAATTTATCATTATTCACATAGAGTATTAGTTCATTTTCATTTGACTAAAAGTTGTTGTTGTTGTTCTACTTTTCAATTTTACAATGTATCTAGTTTCAAATCTCCTAAGTTTTGTATATTAATTAAAATGTGATAGTGACAAGTAATAACACCGATGTAAATGTGTTTTAACTTAACTTATTTCACAATGTATATAACAGATCTTGAAAATATTCTGATTGGGCATATTATATTATCTACGGTATTCTAGTCATAGTCAGAACTCATTAACAGGTGAATAGAGGTTATTATTTAAAGTTATCAAGACAATGAATTCGGTGAAATTGATGATAAATGATAATTGGCATTACAGTTTACAGACTACTTGTATTTAAATTATGTTCTTTAAAAAAAAAGTGACTCAAAACGTGAAGATGTAGTGGTAAACCTTTGAACATAGGTTTCGTGATAGAAGAAGTAAATATATTTTTCTCATAGAACTAGTCGAAGCTCCCTTTATCTACTTCTTCCACACGATCTGATTTTTTCAACATGATTCGAGTAAAATGTTTTAAATATTAAAACTGAATTCTCATTCCCATTAAAGTACTGTTTTTTTTGTCAAAGTGCTCAGATCCAATCTATGTTGCATCCTAGCACAACAGATGGATAATAATTTGTAACCCACGTGTTTTATGATTTGGTAATCAGTAGATGTTAACTTAAAAATATTCATCAACTAAACTACTCATCAATGTTGATAAATCGGCTCAGATTTTCTCCAGCAAAACTGGAAAACTCATTTATTCAATCATCATTCAAGAGTTTATTATCTAGTTTATTATCAACTAGGAAATAATAATCAAATGACATGTCACGATTTATATTCTCCCTGTACTCAGAGAACCTAAAATTCCCCAAACTCCGCTGCTCAAACTCACAAAGATTCAGCTAAATAAGTTGACAATGTTTTACTAAGAAACTAGATTTTTATGTGCATACAACTGTTGAGAACTATTCAAACTCTCTGCAACAATTTGTAGTTGATATAATTTACCAGAATCCAGTGATTCTGGTACAGACTAACATTTGTTGTTTTCATCACCAAGACCATTAGATTTCAAAGAGCTCTTTGCAACCACAATGGTTATGCAACAACCGGATTTAGAAACTAGTCTGAATAAATGAATTGTTTTAAGGGAAACAATACAGTGATCATCGATATTGATATTCAGTCATTAAAGAAGAATTAAAATGATACGATGAAACACTGAAAATTCCTTCTTGAAATGTGAGATATAACCAAAAGTGGTTGTTTGGTTCACTTCTCAGATTATTGTTCTAGGTAGGTAGAAATCGAGCTTCGTTAACATACAAGCGGTTTTGTTTTTTTAATTATGACCATATGCTTTGCTGTCTTCGTTAAATTACGTGACAGATTTAACTGATAACAGGAAAAATATTATGTTCTAGTTAATAAACTGACTTTTATTTTATCTTTATTTGATGAAGTTTTTAAATATTCCAATGAGGTAGAGAAACATTCAAATGATAACGTGGATAATGAGAAATGGTTTCAAATGAAATCTTGTATCAATCAACCAATGGTTATTCTACTACATGAACCGTAAACCCTGAAACTTAGCATTAATTCATCATCCTTTTTATATGCTGACTTGACTACATTTTTGTAATCATTTGAGTTTTGACTTAACAGGATTTCGCTCTGTCAAGTAGTTTTAAAATATTGATTTTTATTTATAACTAAATGATTGCTGAAGGTGTTAGTCAACTATTCAAAATAAAATCTGTCATTCATTGCTTTAAAGAAATGAAGTTAGTGAATACCTTAATGAACGAGACGAAATGCTAGAAAGCAAGCAAAAATATAGATGGAATATCTAACTGCGAGTAGGAGTAAATGTATCAGCTTTGATGTGAACTTGTAATGGCTTTGCTTCGTTAATCGATCACCTTGATAACCGTTATAATATAAATCTCAACGGTGTTTGCAATCAGAAGGTAAAGAGAAGAGGCAACCACAGTGTATTAACTGATAGCGCAGATCACAAAGCTATAGGCACATCAAACGTATTTGAAGCGAAGAGGTGAATAAGTATATACAAATAAATACATAGACAAATTTCAAAAGGGTACAGCAAGACAAAGCAAAAGTTTGTTATAACTTGTCGTTTGATTGCTTATTGTCTAGGCTCTGTTAATACTACTTTTTGTATCTGGTCTTCGCTGATTGTTATGTCGGAAACACTTATCACTTATACTCGGAACGAGGGACCTCTGCAATTCCCACGACGCGAAAATGAGAACCCCAAAACAAAGCTAATAATAGAATTTGAGTACATATTTACATGGAGAGGAGGATGAATCATCGAGTGATATTTAAGCAATCAACATTTTAGCTAGACTGTGTCATGTGGTCTAGCGACCATAACGGCACAAAGAAATATGCGAATTGTTACTGTTCAAAAAACATTGTCTGTTAAGTTAGTTGATAAAAGGGCTTAACTAAAATTAACCATAATCGAAATTGGTTGTAGGATAGTTGCTATAATTTATCACTGCACGGAACTGTAATCTATATTAGTATGCTTGATAATAATAATATTTCACATGAAGCTATTGATTTTAAGGTGAGAGCCACACTAGTTATTATTCTTCAATGCGTATTTTCACAGTCGTAATTGTGAGATAGATTGGATGTTGTGAATATACTTGTCGATATAATATAACTCACTCAAGTCACATTTGACATTGTAAAACTATGATGCAATCAAATGTTGGTATAAAATTCAACAATTTTGAAGAAATATATGTTTCACATTTCATAACCTAGATTAAGGTTAGCCAACATGAAGTATGCAACTAAATCAAATGTATTTCGACAAATACATTTTGTTTGCAGGTTATATCTAATATAATTTGTGCAGTTCAATCATGATACAATGCGAACACAATTAAAATATCATCATTCTACAAACGTTCACTCCAACAGTGCAAAAAATCACATTCCATTATAAAACCAACATGCACAACATATTCGTCGTATTAGTTTAATCGTTAGTTGGGTACAAACTATTAATTGTGTCTTTAACTGAATGTTAGTACTAACATGTATCTAATGTATGGTTTAGTTTTCACCATGAACAAACTTAGCTATTAAATTTGTGTTTTTTTTCACAACCGCACCCGACTACAAAACTAACTTGAGATTCAATGTTATAAGTAACTCATATAAAAGTGTGTAGCGTGGCGTCGGGTCGAAATTGACTATGAACACCGCTACAAAGAAACACGTGCCAAATAAATGAGAAGGCGAAGGTAGAACGTAACCAAATAAATCCATAAAATCCCCGAGAAGCCAAATATCAGAAGACACTTAATGGACCAAGTAGAGATATATTCGCTGGCGATCTCGTGGTATCGAAAGGATACCGAGATCGTGCCAGGATACAACCTTGGTTACAGAAGGTAACCGAATTCGCGCGAAGTTACAATCGAAGTGTAAGTATAAGAATGGAAGCACAATAAAGCTGTCATTAGCACAGTCAAACAAAAGCACGTTAAAACGAACACTGGTACTGTTGGTCATAATAATAATTGTTTTTATTAAACCAGTCGTGTTCTCGTGATAAATGTGAGTCACTACAAGTGTAATGTTAGCCATCTTTTCATCAGTGTTAAATAAAGCGTAATATAAACCATTTCAGAGGATTTCCTGTCTATTTACTGAGTGAGTGCTGAATTCAAGAGCATATTTTTCACTGGCGATTTCATTTCAATTATTTATAATTAACTACATATGTCTCCTATGATCATTACACTGTAGCGAATCCCAACCTGTCGGATGAAATAAGCAAATAAAATGAAACTCAAAGCTTGAATGTTATCCTCAGTGAAAATTATGTTTTTAGATGAACCACTCACTCACTAAATGAGTGAAAAAATACCCAAAAGTGCTTGATACTGCATATACATTGAACTCTGAAAACTTAATATATCATAAATTTATGGACATGTAATAAATTGATTTGAAGAAGTTCATTGTGAATAAAAAGCCTAGATACACTAGAATTTAGTTTTAAAAGACTACCATTAAATATTTTTCATACATTTCACCTAATTACAGCATAAGTCATGCTGAAATATCCTGATATCTGTTTACTTACTTACGCCTGTTACTCCTCGTGAAGGAGCATAGGCCGCTCACCAGCATTCGCCATCCATCCTTGTCCTGGGCCATCCTTTCCAGCTCCTTCCAGTTGTTATTCATTCTTTTCATATCTGATTCCATTTCCCGACGTAATGTGTTCCTCGGCATTCCTCTTTTCCGCTTCCCTTCAGGATTCCAATTTGGACTTGCGTCGTGATGCAGTTTGACGATTTGCGTAATGTACGTCCTATCCATTTCCATCGTCTTTTCCTAATTTCCTCTTCAGCTGGAAGCTGATTTGTTCTCTCTCAGAGAAGGCTGTTGCTGATTGTATCCGGCCAATGGATGTTGAGTATTATGGTGACATATATTCAGTGATTTTTGTAACAACAAAAATAAAAACCACATTTTTTCTCTAATTTGTCACACTTTATTTGTAACCACATTTTTATCCAATATCTGTTGTTTTGCTGTATCACTTGTTAAAAAGACGATGATAATTGTTTCGATGAATGATATACACTTCTTCTACCGGGTTGTTTAAAATATAGAACAATATCTACGCCGTTTGTTCTTCTGTTTTATTGGCCACCGTTTTGGTTGAAGACTATAATAGTATTATAACATCATTATAGGCCTTCCGACTCAACGTTGGACTTTTGGCACGGATT